ATTAATATTAGGGGGAAAAGTGTTGTGTGGGATACTGGAGTGTGGGGGAAGAATGATGTGTTATTTTGGATTCAAAGGAGTTGACAGAATTCTGATGTGCTATCACTTTTCTGCACAGCAGCTCTTTATTCTTCTTATAACAGGAAACACCTTTTTGGGAAGCATGGGGGAAGGTAAAGATTTCCAGTATTGTGGAGGTGTCTCTGCCTAATATATGATTACAAAACATTCTTCTAAAGCTCTTCTTGCCGCATTGCAATTCACCCTGTTGACAGTGTCACAGACTACTTATTCTTGAGGATACTCAAATGTGGACTTTTAAGAAGACGCTTCATCAAATAATTGCCATAAATAGTCTCCAGTGGCAAGCTGCAGTCTCTTGATCGGTCTCTGACCAGTCAGTTGTGAATGGGCATGTCAGGAGGACTTACTAGGCATTTATTTTTGGACTTTCCGTGGATGACAGGTGTATAATTTCTATGTTCACCTTCTATCCTGGGCTTTAGAGATGGGCCCTTTATTCGCATGAGATATTTTCAGTTGTGGGAAAAATTTTGAAAACTATGGGTCACACTATGATATTATAGTGATACTGCTCCAGGAGAGGTGGGGAAACACAAATCTGTCGCAGTGTGATGATAGCAAGGTAATGTTTCTGGAAAAGTGAGGGCAGCCTGTGTGCAGGAGAATACGTAACTCTCTGCAGAAGGCAGCGGACAATCAGAATCATCGGACATTCAAGTTCGCGTACGCTTCTTGTGTTAGTTGACGTTTTTCATCTTTGAAATCAGTCTAAGTGAATGCAGAATTATTGCAGGAATTCAAATGCACCTAATGCAATTAATTTACCCTGACCAGTTTCATGAGAGAGATTGAGAACCTCTGGGCTAATAATCCTCACTGGTCCCTGAGAACAGTTGCAGCTGTTCTCTGCATTTCATGCAGAAGAATTGTGATTCACAGTGTTAAATTACTCCCTCACCCACATGCTGAAGGCTGCAGCTGTATTTTGTATGTGTCTGCTAACAGTCCCACAGGCTGAGGGGTGACTCTCTCCTTGATAAAGTGCTGCTTCCCTCTGCAGTTGTGTGCCTTTTAACCGAGAAAATACATACAATTTTCTTGTGGCATTAGTTGTGGTAGGTCCAAACTGGCACTAAAGTGTGCTACCTTTATAAATACAATTAGATTTTGTTATTCTACGGAAATAGGGGTTCCTGGACCTTGAAGGTTTTTTTAATATAGAAAAACATTACCTACAATAATGCTTAAAGCTATCCTGAAAATGCCAGAGTAGGATCTAGGAGATCAAAGAACGCTACAGTTTTTTGTGTGTTTCTAAGATTATATGTGGTTGTGAGCTGGTTCTGGCTGTTGAAAATTTTTTTTTTTTTTTTTTTTACTATAGCTGTTGGAGCTTTATGTTGCCTTTAGAGCTGAATTCTATTCTGTGACTGAGTCCTTAATATTTCTGTAATGATACGTGCTGGACTTAAAAAGCCTTTTAGGAAGAACCTGTAAGTGGATTTGAAAGTGTTTGTAAGGAGATGGTCGTGGTTGTTGCTATTACAATTGTTTTTAACCCGTGAAAGTATTCAAAGTCTCATAGCTAACTTAGTATATATATTGTGTCAAGGAGGCATGTAGTGGTTTTCCCCTCCTTTGGAAATACTTGAGACTTCTACAGTTTTTTGGCCATTTATTTTTGGACTGCAAATAGGACTTTTAATTCCTACCGCCTTCCCGTTCCATGAAAAAAAGGGAGAGAATCTGGGAGAATAAGGAAAGAAGAAAGGGAGAAGAGAAGCTGTAGTTCTGCAGTATGCTGAGAATGACTGTGGGGCTTCCTGAGCCAGATCAGAAACGTTGTGGCCTTACCGTGCTAAGATTTGAGTCAGTATATATTGCCAGTTCAGATTTGTTCAGAAACATTGCTGTGTTAATGCTTTGTGCTGCTGGCCTTCACTCCTGACCAGGCGCAGTTCATGTATTTTAGAAGGCTCCTTAGTGCACCTCCAACAGCTGTCCATCTGCCCCTTTGTCAGCTCTGTCTCCTGGCCTGCTCCAAAATACCCTGCCCCTGGACCACCTTCCTTTCCCTACCATTGCTTTCTTCTGTGGGAATACAAGGGATTCTGCCTGTGACAAGGACAATCACAGTTGCTTAGGATAATGGTTCAGCTCCCAGAATCTGGGCTCTTTGAGTTCCCTGCAGTTCTCCAGAAATACCTGGGGTTGAGGGAAGAAGAGACTTCCGTGAGGATTGGTCAGAATTAACTCTCTGACCCTTAACCTTTCACTGTTTAGGGCATATTTCCAGATGTGTTTTGCTAACATAACAGACTAGCACTGCAAATCACGCTGCTCCTGGGCCTTGCATTGCTGTACACACAGCGGTTGCTTTTGTTCAGTTTTGGAGAGAAAATGCAAGCTTCCGTTTTCTTTCTTAGAAAATGCCCAGTGTGTCTGAAATTCTTCAATGGAAGATACAGATACAGTGCCTCAGCCAAATAAATGACTTGTATCCTGCAGACTTGGGAGTGGGAAAGTCTATTGATGCGTTGTCATACAAGTAGGTGAAATAAATATGTAACGTTCAGAACAAATGGATTATTTTGTTGTTTCCAAACAGCAATTATATATATTGTCAGCCTATGTGCAGATGTTTAGATAGAGTATAACTAGAGCGTAATGGTAAGGAGAACATCTGGAAGCATCTGGAAAACGTTGCTTCCTGTATTGCTTACCTCTGCTGCACATTTGGCCTTCCATTGTTTTGTGCAGCTTCAGTACAGGAGCACTATTTAGTAGCTGCCAAAAATCAAGTTCAGTTAGAGCAGCTCTGGTCAGCAGGAGGATCAGTAGGACTCCAGCCAAATTTGGGACCCAGTGGTAGCGGTGGTTTTGGCAAGTAACCAGTTTCCCTTAATGCTGTGTCTGCGTTTCTCCTTTTTACAGTTCACACAGTTGGTGTCCTGATTCTTCTTTAGAGTATACATTTTTAAGTTCCCATGCTATTGCTGTCTTTAGATCTTGAACTTTCTTTTTTCAGTGCAGTCTAAAAACCAGAAGTCCAATGCTTGTGTGATCCTCTGGAGCTGGAGAATAGGCAATCAAAGGTAGCGTGACTTTGAGTTAGTTACACCCATCTATGAAGTAGGTGTGTCTGGGGGGTGTCTGCTTTACTACTTCTCCTTTCCCTCATCCTCCATGCCTGTACACATACAGATGATAGAACCAGTGAAAGTCCCAACAAGCAACTATAAAAGGCTCCCAGAAAGTAGTCAAGGTGCAGCTTCCTTCATTTCTGTCAGTTCTTGTGATGGAGTTGGAGGCCTCTGGAAGATGCAGGCGGTGATGCAGATGTGGCTGTGTCTTCAGGTGATGCAGGACCAAAGCCTGTCTCGTTTCTCTTTCAGGCATGGTGTTGGTTACAGCAAGCACACAAGATCATGCAGTGGAATTGTAGGCAAGGTTAAGCCTGATCCCAAAGGATTACATCTTGCCTTGAGATAGCTAAAGGCTCTGCCCTCTTCATTTCAAACTTCATTACTTGGAGTCAAACACAGCTGTCAACTTTTACTGTAGAATTTCACTAAAATGCTGAGGGAAGTATCACAACTAACATATTTTAAATCTTGACCAGTGAAAGCTCTTACTCTGCAGACTTGCTTTAAGTAGGGTTAGTTTAAGTACTGTTCTAAATGCCATTAGCTGCAAATATATTGTCAGTACTGCCAGTCATGGAACTGAACAGGTGGAGGTGGCAATTAGCAGTCAGCAAAGGAAAAAAGGAATATCTCTCTCAAGCTAGGAACAACTTGAATTCCTGATGCTTGCAGGCAAGCAGAAATGCCATCTTCTCACCCACTCTGTTTTTTGCCCATCTTTTTTTCTTTTCTTCATGCTGTGCCCAAATTTTCTAATTGTAGACCATTTTAGAAATTACACTGGTTTTGAAATGTCGTATTACTCCAATCTAAACATTTTTCATGTGAGTTACTGAAGTATTAAGGTTAGAATAATGAACGCTTACCCTCCTGTGTGCTAGCAGGTGATTTTTGAATAATTTAATTTTGCTTGAAGTATAATTTATATAACAATAGATACCTGATCATATATTCACTTCTAAGCACCCCCTGGAGACAAATTTCATGCTGACCATTCAAATGAGTATTATCGTGCAAGTACTAACAAGACTAACTGGGAATAACTAAATTATGTGTAGGTGTGAGAACCATAATGATTCTGATAAATTCCCACGTTGCAAACCAACCTGCTTGATTTGATTCAGTACTTATTTTAATGGGAGGAAGGTGATCTAGGAGGAATTTTTCTTGATAGTTTTGCTTCATGGAAGCTATAAAAAAGCTATTTGTAGTAATAGTAAATTACTATTATGTATTTAGTTCTGGAGTGGTGGTAAGGGAGGTAAGACAAATTTAATAACCAGAAACATTATTTTGTCTTTGTTGAGGGGGTTCATAAAGCCTGGGAGACCTTCCAGAGCTCTATTATCAACTTTTGGATTAATGTGAAAGACTGGTGCCTTGTCATTTTCCTTATGTATATGGAGTCATGCATAACCATGCGATGGATTACTTATGTATAGAGAGGATTATGAAATATTTTCCATCTCCATTGCCTCTAGTATCTTCAGGCCATGTATCTAGTTCCAATCTTACTGCAGACAATTAAGCCCTCAGGCAAGCCAAAGTAGGATTATTTTATTTTAAAATACACTTTTAAAACTCACAGTTGTTCATATGGTATCTCTTATATTCCTTGATCCTGTTTTTCTTTAACCTGTCTTTGTGCTTGCTGAAGCCTTGAAAGTGTAAAACAAAAGAAGTGTTTGAAAGCAGTGGAATAACTTCCCTATATTGTGTGGTTCCCTAAAAATGACATCACTGCAAATTTAATCTCTGTGTCTTGAAACTATGGGATGATTTTACTGTGATGTGTGCTTTTATCGTTGTTGATGTTTTTCTCTGTTTCAGGCCAAACAAACAAAGTGGCCAAGGAGGCAGCCAATAGATGGACTGGTGTGTATTGCAGTGACATTAACTTCACACTAGAGCAATTTCAGTAAAAGACCTACTCATTGTTAAGAATTTTAAATTTGATTAGGACTTTGTTGGATAGTCCTCACTTAAAAATATGCAGAAATTTATTTTGCTTATAAACTATTATGATTCAAAATAAAAACTACATCTTCTGAGTTTAGTTACTGAATGTACTTCATATGACATAATAGATTTGTCCTTCTGGTGCTGTCTTGCACACTGTGTTAAAACCTGCAACTCATTTCCTTGGTTGAGTTAAAATCTCTTAACGATCTGGAAATACAATAGAGACTGGCAGTGGTGGTGTCCAGGTATTCAGAAAGTTTAATTCTATTCTGAATGTTTATCTGTTTCTGAAGAAGGCTTTGTGGAACTTTATTACTGCTACCATGTGATAGGTGCTAATATAAACTAGATATTTCTCGAACTAATTCATCAGCTTTGACATGCAATAGAAATGGTGCACATTTTTGAGGAAGATTACTGTGATAACATTCATATGGAAGTTTAACTCAGTTTTCTGTTGTTGCTTAGCTTTGCTATATCAAATTTCCATTTTGCAGAGCAAGCCATTTGTATGTCCTTATTTTTTAAAAATTATTTAGAATATTGTTTGTAATTTTTTTGCTTAGAATTGATCTACTGTGGACTGCTCGCTATCATTGGTTATGACAAGTGCAGCAGGATATAATTTTCTTAGTCTTTTGACTATTATTATATCTTCATGTGCACTGGGTTGTTTACTGCATATGGGCAAATAAAATTATGGATTTGAAAATAACTTCTGGGAATCCTGTTGTCAGGGCTTTCTGCTGTTGACGACAGGCTGTTGTTCTCAAGGCCTTGAGTGAGGTAAAGGAGCTATGCCTCAGCCTGTAGAAAGTACTTTGCTATTTAATTAAGACAGCTAGGTTATATGCTGTAGCATAGTTTTCTTTTGGAAAGACAGTTCTAAAACCAAAGGTGCAATGGTTAAAGAAAAGGAAATATTTCTAAGGTGTGCAGACAGAGGAACAGTTCCTCTCTTAAGGAATGCTGCAGTTTGTGGGTGTTAGAAATGATGTAATAGGGTTTTAGAAATGATGTCATGAGTTTCAGTCAATACTGCAGTGAAAAATTATGTTAAACTGAAGAAAATGTATATGTTTACAATAATAATGTGATCCTAGAAGAGAAGTGCTGATCAAAATAAAGCTTCCTGAATGTCTTTTATTTAACTTTCAGAAAGTCTACAGTGTCTGAACAAACACACGGGACTGGAAAGGACTTTATAGCTGATTTAAATTTAATTTTTGCAGTTGTAGACAGTCAGTAGGTGTCTAACTGAAGAAGGGCCTATAAAATACTCACTATGCATATTCACACTTACCTCATCACTATAGCAGGTTTGCACTGTAATTGTATCTTTCAGTCTCCTTATAAGAGAGGAGCAAGAAAAGATAAAGCAAACATCCAAAAAAGAGGAAATATTTCACTTAGAATGAGTAAAATTATGTTATTAACAAAAGCCTTCTGTTTTCTGTTCTAAATCTACTTAGTAATGATGTTCCCCACTATGTACCTTTTTCAGACACACAGGAGATATTTTAAATGGAAGGATTTTGTTGGAGCCAAGACTATAATTCATGCTTTCCTAAATATTCAAAGCTGAATGTTTTTCATTCTGTTCACAGATAACATCTTTTCAATAAAGTCCTGGGCCAAACGCAAATTTGGATTTGAAGAGAGCAGAATTGATAAAGGTTTTGGAATCCCGGAAGATTTGGATTACATTGATTAGTGTTCTGTTGATGACCGACACAGTTGTACATAATTGGTTATATATTTGCAGTTCACATTTAAATGTGTATCTAAGCCCTCTCCAAAAACTGACCATCCTTCAATTTGCTGTTTTTGTTAAAGTTAATAAAATTCAAAAAATATTTGTTGCATTTTTTTTTCTTGTACACTGTAGATAGTAAATGTCTTGATTTCTTCTGTGAGACAGACTTAGAATGGACAGGGGTTATAGGGAATTATTATTATAGAATCCTGATTCAACTCTTCCTTTGCTTAAGCTAGAACTTCCAGGGATTTATGTTTAAATATGTGGAAGACTTTGGAGAAGGAACAGCAGGAGACAATATGGAATTGAATTAATTTTTTCCTTATTTCACCAGTGAAATACAAGAGGCGTAATCTGTTAATGGAAAACAGTGAGGCAGTAAAGGTATGAGCAGAAAGGCTGAGGTCTGATTTCAGATTTTTTATTGTGTTGCTAGAACTGCTTGTATGTTTAGTGACAAAATTGTGGTTGTTGGACCTCATCAGAGCTGAATCTGTTCCAGCAAATATATTGGATTTGACACTGAGAAGGCTTCTCTGGTCAAGAGTATAACTGCACAGAAGGGCGATCGAAGAGTACCCATCCATTCACAACAGTGCACCAAGATTTAGGATGCTTATCTGGGATGTGAGAGACTGAATTCAATTTGCTGTTCAAAATCAAGCACCTTTGGCTTTATGCGCATTTTTCAATTTTGGGCTAAGAAAGCAGCCAACCAAAATAATAACAGATTTCAGAGCTTCTCATTTTCGTTTGGTGAAATTTCACAAGCACCTCACTGTGTTATCAACTTCTGGTTTCTAGTTCTGGTCAGTACGTGGCTATAGAAAGACAGGTGGAGACTGCAGACTGTTCTTTGCCTTCTGCAGCTGTGGATTGTAAGACAGCATTTCTGCTGTAGTGCCTGGAGGATTTAAGGTTTACCCTTAGGAGGCAGGCTGGCCTGCTGCAAGGTAGACGTGTGTATCGCTGAAAAGTGTCTGCCTGCCTTTTATGTAAGCTCTGATGAGAGCATTGCTGAAGAGGTGACATTTAGCTGGAGATATGCCCAGAAATCTGTCTCCTGTGACCTTTCCAATTAAAAAGTTTCCTATCAGCTCAGCGCATGTTAAAATCCAAGGATTTCAGCTATGCCCCTGGCTATTGTCATCTCATGTCTATGAAGACAGCAAAGTTATTGGGAAGATAGCAAGTGGAGGATTTTCCTCTCACAGAGATAGCGCAGCAAGTTATCTGTTGCCTGAGGAAAATGTATGTGATGCCTGGCACATAGTAAAATGCCACCGTGCTTAAAATTGCGATGGAGATGTTTCCTTTCGTGTGTTTGGGAAGATTTTACTCCTAATAAGCCCCGTGTTTAACATACAGTGTGTTAGGCACTGAATACACCTGCCGACTGGCTAAGGCGTACTGCAGAGGTGCTGAGCTGGGGGCAGTGCTCCTTACCAGGCCAGGCTTCTGCCCTGTGGAGGGTGTGCTGTGCAGCAAAGCTACGTGCACGTGCAGTTTGGGTGGTTGTTCTTGCTCTTCAATTTTGTGCTGTGAAACAGTAAAGAGCGAGGTTTTATGGTTTTTGTTTTGTTTTGTTTTGTTTTCTGTAGTATATCTCCGGTGATTTTTTTTTTTTTATCTGGCTAAACGTCTGGGTTTTTCTGTGACTATCCTGTACCACCTAACAGGTGTCAGAAGCTCTTTGACACATCTGCGTTTGAGATCACGTAACTGCCATACACTAGAGACCACGATGACTCAACAGGCTTGTTTGTATGAAGGAACACTGAGCACATTAACTTATTGATGTTTTTTCCTTCTTAGAATCACTTTCATGTGGCCGACCTTCTACTTGTCAAGGAGCCTCATGTAATTTGTGGCCTGTAGTGGCTAGTACATCAAGACTTCCTCTGGTACCTGTAGGGATGAGGGTTTCTTACTGATTTTACTGCTTTGGCTACTTTCCAAATTCAAGAAGGAAATGAAGATGACCAGCTATGTAAGTTTAGCTGCAATATTGTGGCTTCCTGTTTGTATGGTAAAAGCATTGTGGGCTATAATAAAACCATTAAATATAATCTAAATAACTGTACTTGAAATAGATTTGCTTAGAGATACTACAGTCAGCCAGCATGAGACTGTAATAAAACCATTAAATATAATAAATATCATTTAAATAACTGTACTTGAGATAGATTTGCTTAGAGATAGTACAGTCAGCCAGCATGAGCACTACCTTTAAAATGCCAAACACAGCCTCTTTGCTTTGGACACAAAACTGAAGTAGTTAAAGTGCAAGGCATTTCTAACAATGTAATCTTCTCTAGAGTTTTGGGTTTGTTTTACAAGTACACAATAGAATATAGACATGCAGTTGCACTCTGTTTTCTGTTCCTGTCTCCTCCTGCTGGTATTGGTTAGCAAGCCCGGCAGAGAATATGTCTCCTCTAAGGACACAATTTTGGAACAGCCAGAACATAAATTTCTCAGCTATAGAGAGGAAGGGAAGAGGTGATGCACTGTCAGAAACTGATGCTTGTTCCTCTAGTGGAATAGATTTATTTTGTACTACCTTCCTCATAATTCTGCATTTTCAGTGTAGGTGAATTTCAACATGAAAAGCAAAGCCAGATCCTTTCTGAGACAAAAAGAGACAATTTGTATGTCTTGAATATTCCAAGACACTTTCAGACTGCTGCATCTGCCCACTTTTGGAAGCTTTTCTTCTTGAAAAGATATGAACTACTAAATCTCTCAGTATGAAACCATTATGTGGTTTGAGATGTGTGTTCACTTTAATTTTTAAGAGAAGCTGAGACTTTTGTTTTCTGCTGAGTTAAAAGTCAGTAACAGTTAAAATGATTTTCCTTCTCCTGATATGTTTTTGGCTGTTAGCGTGTAGCAAAAATGAAAACACTCAACCTGATCTTGTGTCCCAGTTTGTTTCTTCAGAGTTTTCCTGAGATAGAATCTGGAATATTTCTAAAGAATCTAACATGAACATGACTGAGTTTAAATGCTCGCTTCTACTGTTATTCTTGTGGTTATGTCACAGCTATTTTATGTATATGTCTTCCTCTTTTTTCTTTTTTTTTCCTCTGCCCTATAGGGGTTTTTGCCCATGTAAGGTAAATATTTTCAACTGTTAGAGCTAAGTCAGGAGGTCAGGCCTTTACTGCAATTCAGTTTTATAATTAAAGCAGCTACTGGTGCAATGTGGGAAAATCAAAGGCAGTTGTTTTTAGCAGAGTCTGCAGCTCTGACAGGAACAGTATCAGGTCCAGCTTTTCAAAATAATCTCTTGAGAAGTTTATCTCTACAGTACCAGGCTGAGGTGTTGCCTGCTCTTTGGGACTGATGCTGATTAGCCACTGTGAAGCAACCTAGACACAGGAGAAAAATATTTGTTTCTACCTGATCTGCTAGGAAACATTACTAGTTTAAAGGAATTTTACTAACTATGTCTGCCTTGAAACAGCCCATTCTTCCTTGGCTTTTCTTTTAACTAGCCATCTTCATGCTCTGTACAACACCAAGCATGACCTCTAGGACTCCCTTTGTGGTGCTTGCAGAGTGTTAAATGTTAACAGTCACAAAGGTTTACCTTTTGTCATAAATTGGGCGCTAAACCTTTCATTAATGCATCATCTGAAATGTCATTACTGTTGGGGGTGTTTTAAAAGGGAGAATCCAGGCTCTGATGCAAATGTCACAGTGATGCTGTGATCACGTGGCAAAGGTGGAACTGAAACTTATTGGGAGAATAAGGGGAAAAGAAACCCGGCTTGTGATGGTGATTAAGAACGTTGGTGCAAGAGTCTTATGGGGTCCTCCTGTCACCCAGGCATATAGCCACTAGTCAGGTGATCTGACTGGTGCTTATCTTCACCTTGTTTCTTGTAGAGGTGAGGTCTGTCAAGTCATGGTTTCTGTCATTTATCTCCTTTTCCCTCCAAGTGTTCTTAAATTACCCAACGATTTCAGCTAAATTTTCTCTTGTGGGGCTGTGGTACGAGGTCACAATTTATCTGTTCTGCTTGGCTGGCTGCCTGATAAATACAGGCTTTCCTTTTCCCACCTGCCAGTTTAGGGACCTGAGAAGGGGCAGAGCATGCTGGGGGCAGGAGGAGGAAGGAAAGATGTCAAAGATGACTGTAAAAGACCTGGAAGCATTTGGTGCCTGCTGGTGATGGAGTACATGTGAGGCAGCATTGCTGGAGCTGAGATGGAATGGTGTGTGCATCATTTCAGTGGGAAGGAACAGGGGGCTTCAACAAGCAAAGTCCTCAACTAATCCTCAGTGTCACACATGTGACTGGGTTCTTCCATTTACAGTTAGCTGCCATCTAGACACAGTGTCTAAGGATTCTTGTGCTTAAGGGGCCTGCCTTCACAGCAGGGATAGCCTTTCATCTTCTTTTTCTCCTTGTCCCCTTTGCATTTTCTCTTCCACCCCTCCACTGTCATTTCCCTTTCAGATCGGCTTACAGAAACTAGGTGGGCTGAACAAGCAACGCACTGCAGTCTGTACAGATGGCTGTCTGTCTTACTCCTCCTCTTGCTGACGCTGCTGTCAGCACACTCACCTTCCAGGCATACAGGAAGGCAAGTATCTATAAGTTAGAATTGTCTCTTTAAACCATATGTGCAGAAGGTTGCACGTCAAAAGACCAGAGAGCAAAAACATCTGTGAACACCACCACTGACCTTTTCAGGGTGAAGCTTTATAATGCCCCAGAAATGAAGGAACAGTTTTTATGCTGTGGGTAATCTGGTCATTCAATCACTAACTAACCTAGTCAGAAAAATTTTCCTTATTTAAAAAAATAATTGCTAAAGTATTTAGAAAGAACAGTTTTCCAGCAAAACCTGCTGGGTGATTTTCTGTTTCCACTGTCTGATGAAAACCCAAGTTATTCAGAGAAACAATGAGCCTTTCCATATGCAAAACTTCATTTTAAAATACACTCTATTCTTCTGTTTCAAAAAACCTTACTGATCTGTTGGCAACCAGTGCTAAACTAAATCCTGTAAGCAGTCCAGGGGCACCTTGTTTCATGTGAGATGATGAACCTCAGCTGTGCTGCAGCTGAACCTCAAAAGGAAAAGTTGTTTAAAATTATGGCTTCTAGAGAAAGCCAGTGGAGGAAGAAGTTGTGTTTGAAGTGAGGAGGGCCTGAGTTACCACCTGCATACTGAAGGGGATACAGGGATCCACCTCTTTCCCTGGACACCTTTGATCGTGTCACCTTCCTCCAAGGCCGCGCTTCAGTGGCATTCTGGAGGTGAGATTATGTTGAGGTGCAAAAACATAATTTTTTTTTTCTCATTTTTGCAGTCTACAGTGGGAAAATATTAATGTTTTCTCTCTTCCCCTTTCTACTCAGAAAAAAAAAGGAGAGGAAAAAGTCAATCACATCATGTTTTCTTACATTACCATTACTGACCATGCAAAATATAATGCCTCTTGCTGATCCTAGCATTTGGAGGATTTTTGAAGGAGGATAAAAGTCAAACTTTCATACTTTGTTTTCAGTTTCTCAGAAAAAAATTAAGTACCTATTGAATCAGATTTTTTTTTCTGTGTTATGCTGGCAGAAATGCTTTTTGATGAATTTTTGCAGGGACATCAATTAATCATCATAATCAACTACATTCCTCTATGGACTTTCTTTTCTCCTGAAATATATTCTAGGCAATATGCTCTTCATTATGTTTTTAAAAGTGAGTCTATTTCTGAGATCAGTGATTTAAAAAAATGAAAATCAAGGCTCTGCAGTGGACCTGTTTGTTATTCTATGGTCATTAATATTGTACCTGTTTGAAAAGGATATGTAAGAAATAACTTAAGGATACATAAGTATAACTCAAGAAAGTTATACTAAGTGCTCCAAAACACCAGTTTCTTTATCATCTGGTGAAAGGCAAGAAGCCTGGATGATAAGTTCCATTTTTGGTGTAACCACCATCAAAGATTCAATGAGTGAGTAACTTTTTTTCAAACAGATACATTGAACAAAGAAGCTTCAAGATGGAGTCCATCAACTTTTAATGCTCTTTTCAAGTTAAGCTGTTTTGAAAGTGCTGGTTTGCTGTTCTGACCTTAGATTGGAGGTGGTAAAAGTGAAAATAGCTAAAATATTTAAAAATCAACATTTCTAATTAAAATGTTACGTTCAAAATTGGAAATCACATCTTTGAAGCTGTCTTCTTCTTTAACAATACCACCACCAAAAAAAAGTGCAGGAGCCTTTCCTTGTCATTAACTGTCTAAATCATTAGAAGATTGTACAAACCTAGGGGAACTATGCATGTCTGAGTAGGACATATGTCTTCACTCTTTCAAGCAGGCATGTTCTAAAATCTGCATTTTGGGTTGCATATTTTCATTCCTACTGTTTCTTCAATGCTTATGCTGGTAACTAAAATGGAGAGAGTTTTCTATCAAAGGGCCTTTACTGATAGGCAAATTTGACTGATAACTTGATAGCAACTTGGGGAAATGGAAAAAAGGGAATCTAATTTCAAATTTTTGGTTCATTTTAGACTTTAGCCTCTTTAGTCTTGAGCCAACAGAGTGGGCATTGTCAAATATTTCCTATACCAACCCACCAGCTGTATCATTCAGCTTTTGGTAGAGACCAGATAGAAAACAATAGTGACAGGGTTTTTTTGCTTTGCCTTTTTATTGTCACTATTATTGCTTAGCAAGTCTCCATCCCGAATTAAGGCCAGAGGGAGGAGGGTTCACTGCTTAAAAAGCACAAGCAAGACCTATGCTTAGATCCACCTTTGATAGCAGTTTCCCTCTCTGCTCTTCCATACAGCTTTGTTTTTGACAGATTTATCCTGGCAAACACTTATCTTTGCAAGTGAGTGGTGAACATTCGTACTCTGATGCAAATGATTTTGCATCATGAATTAGTATGCAATATTGTAAGCAATAATTTACAGTTAAAATTCAGAGGACTAGGCTTGCAGGTGTACTCTGGTGTTACTGAAAGAAACTGTTTGATGTTAAGCTATCTACTTGATATGGGATTTTTTTCAAGATTCATATTTCAGGGGCTTTAGTTCTGTTCACCACACCAATGCTAATTGCACAGTTCTGTCACCTCCTGTATGAGTGACAGCAACGATGGAGGGCCTTGGCTTTCACTAAAATGAGAGAAGTTTTGCCAAGAAGCTAGCAGAGAAAGAGCCTTCTGAGCAGAATCAGTCTCCTTGAAAAAGAAACATTTCTGCAGTGAAGTCCTTACAGCTTGCTTGATTTCTGAGTACTTCAAAAAGCATCCAGATCTGATTAAGTTAATATATTTTCTTATCCACTTCTGTGCTCACATCCTGCAGAAGCCCAGGGTTGGCCACTTGTCCTTGCTCCACCTGACAGGTGTCATCTTATCTTGGCTTTGAGCCGTTAGAGACGCCCTGGGAGTTTGGGCTGTGAGGTTCTTCTTCCAGTGCTGTGGGTGGCTGTGAGCAGAGATACTGCTCCTCCGTTACTGGTGTGCAGAGAACAGCCTCGTATCTGGAAAGCTGAAAAGCTCTTGATAGCCTTGTGTGAAAAATATTTGTGGCAGTGCTAGTAGAACGTTGTTCCCTTTGTTTTAGAGCTCATGTATGTGTATTTTTCTTTTGAAGTCTGTGTCCAGCCTCCTATCCCTCAGCCTTCATAGTCGAAGGAGAAGCAATAAAAATAGAAAGTAAATGCAAAACAGAGCAAAGACCGAAGATGAGTGGAAGAAAAAAACCCTCATGACTTCTACTCTGAAGATTTTAACATTATATGTTGAGGGACACCCTAGGGGTCCCTCCTACCTCCACTACTACCTTGGGGTAGCAGGCATTTCTGTTTCCCTTGTCTGTGCAGCAGCCACAGGAAGAAGCAAAATAACGTGAGTGCCAAGGCACTATGATGACCAGGAGTGCTGCCCTCCTCACTTTGGCCAGTCACATGGGCCCTTGCATTTGACAGCTGTGAATTCAGACTGCCAGGGGTAAAAACCACCTCCTTCATAGTAAAACTGAGTGACACAAAAGACAATGACAGCCTGAATGAACTAACTCAAGCAGAGGCGCTCACCTGTCTCTGGCTTTTGCATGCTGAGAGATGCAGTGCCAGTCAGCCTGGCCAAAGCTGTGTCCTGGGAGAAGCTTTTGAGTCCCACGTCCATAGCTTTGAAGGTCATAAAAGCACAGTGATAGGAAGCTGTGACTGTTCCATTTAGCACTGCCATTCCACGCCACTTTAAAATGTGTTATTTTTGTTCCATGGGTCAACTGGTCAGGTTATCAGTCCAGTTAGGGGAATGGGATGCTGATGGTTCACTGTCTGTTAAAATAAGCTCTGTACTATAGATGCTTTCTTGTTATTCTCAAAATTGGTTTCCATGGTAACTGTCACTGGAACAATCTTTTTCGATGAAAGGGAGGAAAATCATTTCCTTTTTAGGAATCCCTCTGCTCAGCCTAGTAAAATTCGCTTTTTGCTTGAACCCTGCTCAACTCTAGGGAATCAGGATTCTTATCTTCATTCACCTCCACCAAGTGTGACCAGGGTGTCACCCCCACAATTTCCTCCTCCCACTCCTTTCTGCCTTTTGAATTTAAATCACTACTTTTCACTTCAGGGATAAAAATCTGTGAGATCCACGCTCCAGAATTCCTTGGCGTGTGGCTTCCATCTTATCTCTTGGCTAAAACTTGAATTGCACCTGATTTTTATCAAAACAGAATAACTTTGCTGGAGCGCTCTCTGCAGCGGGCCTGGGAGGAGGCAATGCAATGCAGGATGCTGCTGGATATCGCGCTTCTGGCCTTTCCCTCAGTGCTCATTTCTTTTTACAGCTGGGCCCCAGGATGCGTTTCAGCCAGAGCACTTGATGCCAAGGCAGAGCCCAGTAATCTGCAGTACAGTGTGGAGCTTCTCTCGAGGAAAACTTGTGATTGCTCAGAGATTAGTCATGCAGAGACTCTGCGAACAAGCCTGGAACTCTACGTGTTTTGTAATGTCTTGCTGCAGAAACAGCTGTCGTGTGTCAAAGTGAGATGCGAGATGCAGCTTTAGCCTGCTGTGAAGAAAAGGAGCTCACTCTGCAGCATCAGGCGGCTTCAAGACTGAAGAGCTTTTGTGGAAAAATGTGCTTCGGTCAAACACCACTTGAAGCACAGTGGCATTTCAGCCTAGCCTCTGGAAGGGACCAGCCTGAGCATATCGTTCCACGAGCATCATAAAAAGTATTGCTATTTTTTTTTCCTTGAAATTAATTACATTTTACTTATACCTCCATCTTACCTGCAAAGTAAGGGAAAGATCTTACTCCACAGTGCAGTTGCTCAACAGAAGTTTTCTTGGCATGCTTTAAACACTATGCAGTCTCTTTTGCCCCTGGCCCTCAAGCAGGTTATTGAGCATTTTTCAGCATCTGCCTGGACATCCCTAGGGCTTTGGAGTACAGCTGTGCTAAATGCCACGTGAGGCATTTGGGCATCTGTATCTCTTCAGAGTTTTTCAGGAGACCAAGTTCCTTCTTAAATCACTGGGAGCCTAAAAATTTGTCTGAGTTAGTCTCAGGTCTCTTTGCTGTGGTTATTGGATGAATTAAAGTAAATAAGGGAGATTTTGTGAGGGTTTTTTTCACTTAAGCTTTCCATTGTTAAAGATTGCAGGATTGTAAATCATCCTTTACTGCAGGAGCAATTGAGCCTGTTTCTGGATTCAGCAGGAGTACTCAAACTAGATGAATGCCATTTTGCATACTACAGTTTTCAGAGCCTAAAATACCTTGTATAGCATCTGAGGTCTCAACAGAGACTGGCAGTAAAGCAAGTTTGTTTTTTGTTCTGAATAACTGCTTTTGGAATTGACAGAAATCTCATGTTCTTTTTTTCAGTTTGAGAATCATTCTCATCCACATTTAATGCTTTTGAAGGGTGGATGCATAATTTTCAACTATTTAAAACAGAAAATAAATCAAGTTTCAAGTTTAGTCCATTGTGCTTTTTTCCCTTGTTTTCTTGATTGGAATGTGTGGGTTTCCCAGTAGAGTTAGAGGTGAGTTAGCACTCTTTTCCTTGAGAAAGTTGCATTAAGCATCTTGTTTTCACATACTCATCATGCTAAATATAATAAAGAAAATCTTCTGAATTTTTCCCAAATGGATGGAACTGAATGCTTAGAATTGGTTAAAACAAAGAAAGAGAGTCCAACTCTCCTGCTGAAGACTGATGAGTTGGCGTAAAACCTAGATGTATCCTTTTGTAGGTTGAGTTAGAGTATGTCCAAGCAAACTCTTACCTCTGGTTCCTAGGACTATGATTCTGTTTGATTTCTGTTTTTTTATTCATGTTACTTCATGTTTTTCTGGTTACTTACACAAAAAAATGACCTTTTAGAAATATCAGCTGTTCTCCTTGCTATTGTACATCATACTAGGATATAAATATATAAAAAATTTCAGAACATTTTCTCCTATGACTTTTTTGACTTTTCAGGTTTTTCTTTTTTTTTTTTTTTTTTTTGGTGAAGTGATTACTTAATGAATACATTTAATTGGTTTTGATCATCCATAACAGTACAGCCACAGACAAATCCAAGTAATCCAAGTAGTGAGGCACCAATTCAGAAGTCTGCATTGAGTAGTGATCTGCTTCTTTATATGCTCAATTAAGAGCAAATAGAATATGTCAACAGACAATATAATTCCTTTAAGCAGTATTTTTAGCTTGAGTGGTAACATGGGTTTACATCTGTTTGGTTTACTCTCCCTGTCTGTCTCTGTAGTCCTCTAGTTCATTCTCTTTACACGTGGCAATTACCGGACCACAAATGTATTTTCAGGCTGAACCTTTCACCCTTTTTTGCTGTAGGAAAAACAGTTACATCCCTCTTCTTGGTGTTTCAGGGAATCATGGTAGTGATTAAATTGCCTCTTGAGATTCCTACACTAACAGTTTTTAGCATAACTGTAAAAGAATATTATTAGCATTGGTTGTACTTAATGATTCAAAGTCTTTAACCTAACTATAAACGTGAAAAAAAAAAGTCAGTTGGTAAGTTTTGGTTGTTTTTTGTTTTTTATTGTACTGATGAGTGCACACATATGTGCTCCTGGACCTTAAGAGCTTGGAGACTGAGAACAAGGTACTGGGGTTACCCCCATGCACTTAAAAATGGGTTTGCAGTACCTTGACCTGAGACTGTGTGACTGATGAACCACCTCTCCATAGCATGAAGCACCCGGAGGGAAAACATGAGCAGATGTTGGCTTTGTGGCATTTGGGCTTCTCCTCATGTCAGATACAGGGCTTTGGGCAGCTGCATGGTGCTGCAGGCAGGCTGCTGGAGCAGTGCTGGATAATGCCTGGGGGGAATCAAGCCTATTCATTGGGATTCTATCCTGGTTTTTTTTCTTACAAGGCTGAGATGAAGCTGCTAAACTGAGCAATGTCAGTGGTGAGCAAGGAAAAGACAGGTGGCCCCACAGACCTCAGGACGCAGCTCTAATAAGCTTGCACTGTATTTCTGGCTGGGTTTATTTTGAATTTCCTACTTAATAACTGAATAGATCTTCAAGTTGGAACAAAACTGAGAGTGACAGGACCCTCAGCACCCTCCAGAGCTTCAGCAGGGGTGCTCATCTGTGGCCTCACACATACGCAGGGCAGGGCAGAGGAGAGACACGGCACCCTCTGGCAGGGACTTGAGACCCTCTGGGACTTGCAAGGGGAGTGTGTGCTGTGCCTTGGTGGGGCAGGAGTGCACACAGCTGCAGGACGCTGTATCATCACCAGGCAGCCTCCATATGCCTCTCTCTCCTACTCCTCAAAAAATTAATACACTTAAAAATAGTTTAGCTGCAGAGATGCACTGAGAATTTGCTTAGTTTAAATGAACTGGTGCAGGGACTATAGCCCCATCTGGGGTTAAACAGGGCATGTATTGTTGCCTGTCTTTTTACATCTGGGAATAAGCTTGTAGCTTGTTAACAGTACCTAGCAAGTGGGAGAAGAAAAGTGGCCTTAAACCCAACTCTGGCAAGGAGAAAAATCAAATGGAAAATATGCATTTTTAATACGCCACTGGGTAAGTATATAATAGTAGAACAACATTCGTTGTAACCTGATATCCCTCAGGAATGAGGGAAAAGCTGACTGCTTGCTCCACTGAGCCAAAAAATAAGAAAACATGTAAGTGCAAGTGTGTAGTCAGCAGCATAAGGAATAATTTTGGCTTCAGAAAGCCGAGAGCAAAGCTGGAGTGTTGAATGTTAAAAGGCTAACAGTTTTACATAGAAACACAACTTATTATTTGCAACCTATTTGAAGGCTTTTTCCAGTGTCCTAAAGAAAGTCCAGATCCTTCTGCATTTATCCAGCCATGAGAGAGCTATTTTGGCAGAATCTAAGGAGGTATTTCATGTTAGCCATCTTCTGATTTCTTGCTGGAAACTAAACAGATTTTGGATGTAAAAATGCAATTCATTACTTTAACCTAAATGCATTTCTTGGGGCAGATGTGTTGTTTTCAGATGTTTTATCAAGCCCTTTAGAACAGCTCCACAGTTGCATTTCATTTGAGTGCCACTCAGCATACACAATAGGTTTGGAAAAGCGACCCTGCATGGCCTTTCAGGCACCTGGCAGAGTACGTTTTTCGCACAGCATGCGGAGAATTAAGCATCCAGCTCCTGTGGCTGACGATGCGCACGGCTTCTCATCCAGGCTGTGCTGGAGCTGTACCGCTTCCTGTCCAGCTGTGAGTGCCATGCCACTGGGAATAGCTGGTGAGCAAAGGGCCACAGCCCCTGGGATGTCAGTACAGCAGCTGAACGTGTGCACATCCCTGGGGAATGGGCAAAGGTGCTGTGAGGTGAAGACCTGTGCATCAAAAATACGCTCCCATAAGGAACTGAAAGTACCTGCAATTATTTGGAAGGAGGCTGTACAGTATCTGTCATTTTCAAAAGACAATGATGGCAATTACAGTTGCAGGGAATTGCAGATGTTCTGTGAAAAGAAATGAACAAGCCTAAAATTGCTTTCTGAGAAATAAGTCTTCAAGATTTCCAAATCACCTGATTTTTCTGCAGTGCTTTTCTAGGCAGTATTTGAAAGTGGATTAGAGAATCGTAAATACCAAGGCTGATCCCTGACTGTAGGGATAAGAGAAAAAAATTGCTCTTTGGGCTCTTCCTAGTGCAGCCTGCTCCCCCCAGTGCTCTGTGATCTGCCACATGGCAAGGGCTTCTGCAGAGACTCCTTCAGCAATCAGACCATTTCAGGTGAGGAGGGTGATGTGGCTTCTGTCCCAGGACAAGGCGTTACTTCCCCACCCTTCCTTGGCTGAGCTGTCTGTGGGTATCACTCACTTTCAGGTCAGGAGGGTGGGGGGTTCCCATATGTTTTGTGTCCTTTGCGGAATGCCTAGGATTTTTCTGCTTTGTATGGTATAGGTATCCAGAAAGGACTGTTGTTGATGCTGTGGGTTGAACTGGGGATCCATCACCCTTCCTCTCTCTATGTCAGATGAGTTGTACTACTCTAACTTATCCTGTCATCCACCCCACTACTCCCCATGCAGCCTGGGTGCAAGGCGGTGACCCTCCTCCTCCCCCATTAAAACCAGCCCTGACATGAGTACTATCAAATGCCAATGCTTTGGGGTAGTCAGGGCAGCTTTGCAATAGCATTCCCTGTCCTCAGGGAGGGATTTATTTTCTTCCTTGTAATACTGTCGCTTTTCCCTAAAGGATTACCCCCTCACTTATTTGCTGAAAGAGCGAGGTGCTGGGGAAGGGCCCTTGGTGAGAAGCTGATGGCTGCAGCCACACGGGTTGTCTGCAAAGAGGCGAGTGCCCAGTCCAGTTGTGCCCAGAGGTGATGCCTCTTCTTAGCAGCTCCAGGGAGCCTGGCTCCAGCTGGAGATGCCTGTGCATCTTGATGCCCTGGCACCGAGGTAGGCAGCAGCCAGCTCCCTGGGTTCTTTGTGGGTATTAAAAAAAGAGGTGGCCTTAAGGCTGTGGCATGAAAAATCCCTGGTACTTCACAAACTGTGCACATTACGTTGTTTTTCTAGGTTACCTAAATTTTCCCCTCAGTTTCAGATGGAAGTGAAACTCTTATGTGCTGTCAAAACTGGCAGGGAGGTGGCAGG